TGTGCATTCTGGAGATATCTCTAGGCTTGGATACTTCCTGCCTTTGGTGTCACAAACTAGGGGGCTCTGTAAAGCAAGTGGGAATCTCCCTGACCAACAGACTATGAAGCTACTTGCGACCAGAAGTCACTTCGGGTTTACAAAGAAGGGAAGCTTCTAAGGTGAAAGCAGCACAGACACTATCAACTAACAACTCTTGGCCAGCCTTACCCTCGACCTACACATAGCACCTGCATACTAGTAATTACAAGAGAGGCAAGCCAGTTATACTTGGAGAGGTGCTGGGAATTGGGTCTTGTGGGTAAAGTTTGGCAGCTGGAGCTAAGTCAATGCCTTATGACTAGTGATGAAACACTATACCTTAACTCAGCCAGTACATACAGAGCTCTGGACATTAAACGAAAGGACTAAATCTTCCAGCCATGACCTGGCTTCAGGTGCACAAATCCAAATATAGAAACACACTCACACACACACACACACACACACAAAGAAAAAAAGGAAAACACAACCCCTCTAAGAATCAACAACAACAAAGTGGATAAATCTCCAAGAATGATCAGTGAAGGAGGTCATAAACAAACCTCATGAAAAAATTCCGAGAATACAAATAAACAGCTGGATTAAATAAGGAAAGCATGAAGAATATGAAAGAGGATTTCAAAAAGACAGAAAAATTGAAAAAAAAAAATTCTGGAAGTGTAAAGTTCAATAACTCAAATTTTAAAATACTCTGTTGAAAGCCTTTCTCAATAGACTATATCAAGCTGAAGAAAGATTATCAATGCTGGAGCACAACAGAGAGGAATTAGAACACTCAAAGAAAAAAAAAAGTTGTTCTTACCCCTATGGTATATCCTCAGCTGTCACTGTATTTGATTTTGGTGCCCTGGTATTGTATATACATTTATCTGAATGAGGGAAGGGAAGCAGAACAACAGAATGGTGGGACAAAGGACAAGGGGGAACCAATGCAACAGCAATATACACAAGACAGTATGTTGGAAACAATCTGTACAATTTGGGGGCGGGGAGGGATTGGGGAGGGAAAGTAGAGGAAAAATGAAGGAAGTTTGACAATAAATGTACTTATTACCTTTACTTATATAACTATAACCACTCCGTACATCACCCTGACAATAAAAAAGGTGGGGGCGTACACAAGGCCTTTCGGAGTATAAGGAAAAGACCAAACCTGCAAACGATGGGCCTGGAAGAATAGGTTCAAGTTAAAGGCATAGAAAACATACTCTTTTTTTTTTTAAGTTCCTAAATCTTGAGAAAGAGACAGTGGTCCAGGTACAGGAGACTTATATCAAATAAGACAAGAAAAAACTACTGCAAGACAGAAAGCTGAGCCACATATAAAGGCAAACCCATCAGAGTAACCGCAGATTTCTCAACAGAAATTAGAAGTTAGGATGGGGAATAATGTATTTCAAATCCTGAGTGAAAATAACTGTCAGCATAGATTACTGCTACAAGGACGCTATCATTCATAATTAAAAGAAACATTAGAACGCTCCAATTAAAAAAATAAGGAATATATGGTTACAAGCCATCATTGCCGTGAGATAGTTAACATGGAGTGGATGGAAGAGACTTAAGGACTACATCGATAAATGAATATATAAGCTCCAGAAGCTTGTCAACAGTAAGATTGCTTTGTTAACAGATGCTTCAAAAATCCCAACCCTCCTCCCACCAGGAAGCTTCCAAAACATTACGACTCTGGAGAAAGACTTTCCAATAGGGAAAGATAAGCGCTCAACATGTACAGTGCAGCTCAGATATTTATTACAAAGCCAAATCCCAAAAATATGTATGAAAAGCAAGTATTTAATGTTCTCTGGAGAATCAAAGTGACCTCAGTGTTCATTTACTGCCCTGGTTGTTGTAAATCCAGAACTGTACACTAAGAGTTAACATGACACATTTGTAAGTTATGTTTTCGGCAATGTCTTCATTCTTACAGAAACTTATCTATACTTGTGTTGCTTATGTGTTTAAAATGTTTAAAAGATTTCTAATGCAGTTGATTGGTTTGGATTGTGTGTGTTTGTTAGACAAGTGTTGTCTTAATTTAAACAAAGACCTTTATTTCATAGTTTTAGCAATATGGAAAGAATCATTAGACCACTTTAATTTTTTTTAGCAGATTTTTCTTGGAAAACCTGGAACTCTTATCTTTTTTTTATTTTGGGTCCGGTCGTGGGGCCTGAACTCTGGGCCTGGGCACTGTCCCTCAGCTCTTCAGCTCAAGGCTAGCGCTCTACCACTTGAGCCACAGTGCTACTTCTGGCTTTTTTCTTTTTGCTTATGTGGTGCTGAGGGATCGAACCCAGGGCCTCAGGCATGCAAGGCAAGCGCTCTACCACTGAGCCACCTTCCCAGCCCACTCTTACCTTTTTTTTTCCTTTTTATTTTGTTGTTGCTGGTCATGGGGCTTGAACTCTGGGCCTGGGCGCTCTCTCTGAGCTCTTCAGCTCTTGAGCCACTGGAGCCTCAGCACCACCTATGTTCTTTTTCTTTTGGGGGGAGAGAGCCTTGTCATGCAAGCTGGCCTTAAGAGTTGTGACCTTTGTGCTCCACCCTCTGATGAACAACCTATGACCTTTGCTTTCAGGTCTCCAGCATACATTTTATATAGCTTAGAATTTTTAACTTACATGTCATGTTTGTTGTGTGTAACATTAGCTCATATAATAGCCATTCATTTTGTGTTCTGCTGCATTGGAGCAGTAGATAGGAATGTGATCATCAGACCTGGCCTGTCCCTTATTATCTTTAGGACTCAGGATTTAGTATTTGATATAAAGTGGGTGAGGTCATATTGCTTTACCAGAATAATCCCAGAGCATGTAAGGAAGTCTCCTTCATGAGCTGATACAAATTCTTCTTTCCAAGCCCTTCCTGGCATGCATCAGATAGCAAAGGCTGAGGCTCTGCGTTGAGGGATTAAAGAATATGAAGCCAGGCAACTACAAGTCTCTCTGGCTGACTTGATTTTCAGAAATTTCAAGTACTGTCTATGTGTGAAAGGCTAATTTATTTGCACCTATAAATAAATGCATCCACATTGGAAGCTACAAATGCGATCAACAGAAGTATTTTCTTCCCATCTAATGTTTAAGATGCTTATTTTTATGGAAAGAGATGTTTTTACACTTTTAATATTCAGGGTAATTTAGTTAACATAATGTTTTTTCACTTATAAACAAACCTGATCTTCATTAAGCAGATGTTTTCTGGAGCAATTATACTTACAACCGAGCGGTGAGAAGCAGGATAAAACAAGTGGTTGCACCTGGAGTCTCTTATTTAATCCACTGTCTCAGCCACACACGATAACTCTATCCACTGGATTTTCTTAAAATTATCCAAGTCTGATGGGCATCCTCTTTTTCATTTTTGTAATCCTTTTACCTGTAAAATGCAAAAAGCCAGCCAATGTCAATTTGGGCTTGAGTCCTAATAAGTGACTCCACGTTACTTCTTGTAAAACCAAAACATAAAACCCAGCCCAGGCTCCTATCATCACACGTCTAAGTTTTAGCCTCCTGACATTTTTAACTTGAGATGATTTTAAAAATGAATTGAAATAAAAATTGACTACTTTTGATTAGCAGTCAAACTTAACCCTTTGAAAGGTAGCTAAACACAGAATTTAGAATCCTGTGAGAGGGAGCTGGTAACCTGCGAGGCGAGGTCACACAGCCTGCGGCCCCTGTCTCCTGCCAGTGCGGGCAGAACTGGCTTCAAGTGTGAGCTCTTCAGCTTCCCTCTTCCTCGCTCCTAACAGGCATGATTACATTCCTCTTTCCAAAATACAGGTCTGAAAATTCTTGATAACATATCCCCTTCCAGAAAGCTTTCTCTTTTCCTTTTCTTTTTTCTTTTACAGTTGTTCTTCCTGCAGTACTGGATGGTTTAACTGTAGTAAGTATGCCAGACAGTCAGCTTGTGTATTCTAGTCTCCTGGCTCACTGTTCCCAATTTGAAGTGCCACTTCAGACAAACTGACACTTTGGGGAGGAGTTAGAAAGACAGAAAGAGCCAGACACTGGTGGCTCATGCCTGCAATTCTAGCTACTCAGGAGGCTGAGATCTGAGGATCACGGTTCAAAGCCAGCCTGGGCAGGAAAGTCTGTGAGAGTCTTATTTCCACTTAACCACCAGACAACCAGAAGTGATGCTGTGGCTTAAGTAGTAGAACACTTGCCTTGAGCTGAAGAGCTCAGGGACAGCTCCCAGGCCCAGAGTTCAAGCCCCACGACTGGCAAACAAAAAAAAAAAAAAAGAAGAAGAAGAAGGAAGGAGGGACAGCAGACTCCTAAAATATCTGTTAATGATCTGTGTAGGCCAAACCCTATTTCAAACTGGGCAAGGAGCTGACTGGAAGTTTCCAGAAATTCCTCAATCCTGAGATGGCATAACCCAGTTGGAACAATTAAACTTTTTCCCCCTAAAATGCTTAATCACTTTGAAAATAGGATTTCCCTTGGGATTAGATGATTATTTAAAAACTATACTCTGCCCTGTTGTAAAAAGAAATTGAACTTGTCAGTAGTGTTTGGATAACATTTTGACAAAATAATTTCCTTACTCCATAAAATATGTGAATCCTAATATATAGAAATGAAGTTTCTAACTGAAGGTGGGCATGGCTCAGTAGACCCAGGGGTCTGGAATCAGAACACTGGTTCCAATGTATGTCTTCATTTTGAAGAGGTCATCACTGCCTGTGAAAGGTAAATTGTTTCTACTGCCTGTCATTCTAAGCTTCTGCTCTCTGAATTTTATATGTGAGTTCCTTTTCATCTAAGAATAAACTTTCATATCCATCCCTGGGCCAGCTCAGGCCTCTCTGGGAAGAATGGGTGCTCTGTGTATGGCGTCCGTTCATCCTCCACTGAGAAAGTTTGTGGAGGTTGCTCATGGCTGTGTGGAGAAGGAAACCACTTCACTGCTTGATGCATTTCTCTGACCAGGTTTGAAAGATGTTCGATCTCAAGACGAAGATTATGGTCGGCATCGCTAGCAGCTTACTGATTGCTGCAATTGTGCTGATAAGCGTCGTCTTCTGTCTTTACTTCAAAGTATCCAAGGCACTGAAGTGAGTCATGTGGGTAAGAGTGAAAAACCTCCTCAAACGGGAGCCTGGGGCTCTTGGCTTGGGCAGGGCCATTACTGGCTCCCTTCGCCTCACGGTGGACAGTGAGGTGAAGAAACATGGGCCGGGGTGGGAAGCAGAGGGAGGTCGATACGAAGTCTTCAGTGTTTCTCCTCCTGGCTTGGGGTCATGAGCTCCTAAATGGAATTTTCTCATCCTGCAGGCCTTGTATATCAACACTGCTTTGCTGCCACCCAAACTCACTGGGTTTACCTTCGGGTGTTCAGTGTTCCCTTACCTGAGCCCCCCTGTCCCAGTGCTGTCGACTCAGCAATCTGTGGGGGATGCCGTGGGAATGAGCTGTGCCTCCATTTCACACAGGGTAGCCATGACCTCTCACCTGCGTCAGTTCTTAGGCTGTTCCCTCATTTATTGCCTGAGATCGTGGGGACAATGAGGTAGGCCTATAGGACAGAGACTCATCCAGGCCAAGGATTGGCAAGGGTTGTACGTGATAGAAGAGATATTTGAGTTTAGGCTGGGGATCCTGAAGTATGGGAGAGCCTGGCTGTTGGCAGCAGTGGCATCGCAGGTCTTAGAATTAGATGGTTCCTGCAGGACCCAGACAACTGAAGATTATCCTTCTCTCTCCCTGTATGTTGGGGCCTGTAATGGCCAGCTGGGCTTCCTGCTTGCAACTCTTTTTTCTTTTCTCAGTACTGTGCTGATATTCAGGGCCTCATATTTGCTAGAGAGGGTTCTACTACCTAAGCCACACATACCTCAAGTACTCTTTACATTAGTTTTTTTTTTTTCTTTAAATAATTTTTGGTTGGGAATGTGGGTTAGTGCTGGAGTGCTTGCCTAGCATGCATGAAGCCCTGGGTTCAATTCCTCAGTACCATATAAAACAGAAAAAGTTACAAGTGGGGCTATGGCTCAAGTGGTAGAGTGCTAGCCTTGAGCACAGACAGGCTTGAGGACAGAGCCCAGGACCTGAGTTGAAGCCCCAGGACTGGCAAAAAAAATAGTTGTACAAAGAGGTTTCAATGGTACATTAGAAGTACAGCGCATCTTGTTCGATGTCTATGCTTGCTTGAGTTATTTTTCAAATAAGGCCTCTCATTTTTGTCTGGGCCAGCTTGGATCTTGACCCCTCTTACTTATTCCACACATAGCTGGGATGATAGGAATCTGCCATCATGCCCAACTTATTAGTAAAGATGAGGCTCTCAATGACTCTCAGCCTGGGTTCCATCTTTCTGAACCCTGACCTCCTGAGCAACTAAGATCCCAGCTGTGAGCCACTGCACTTTTTTCCCACTTCCTTGCTCTGTGACCTTTTTATATGCATAGCAATGATAGAAGACGAGGTAAGCAAGGAACATGGCATAGGCAAAGAGCTTCAATTTTAGGCTAGTGTCACCCACGATTAGCCCTGACATTTGTATGAAACAAACTGAAGGGGAAAGTTCTAAGCTCCTGCTTTATGTCTTTCCTTAAGATGTGCAAAGGAATACAGTACTTCACATCTACCCTATAACAATCCAACCAAGGTCACTCAGGCAAAGGTCATTCCAGCCAGAGTCATCACCACTGACCCTTGTCGGCCCATCCAGTGCTGTGAGGAATGCACCATGTATGCAGATGTGGACACCCTGCCACCTTGCTTTTGTAACCCTAACGAGGGACTCTGAGAATGGTGGGCACAAAAACTTCCATGAGCACCATTTCTTTCTAGGTACAATGTTTTAATTATTCAACTCCATTTCTATAGTGCTTATATGATTATATACAAGTTAATGTGGCGTTTTTGTGCAGTTTTGGAAATGAACAATAATGAAAATAATCATCTTTGCTTTAGTGGTTGGTAAAGAAGTCCTGTTTACATTTTTTTCTTATCCACATTGGGACTCGAGGCAATTAATTTGTAGTATAATTGTATTGCAAGATAAACAGGAGAGTTAAAAACAGAGCGTAAAGACAGGACATGTGAACAGTCTAACAGGAAGGGATACTACTGTGCTAAATGAAGCATTTCAAAACTAAGTTGAGACTGAAGTTTCCTAGCAGCCTAGCAAAAAAGAAATAGTATCTGAATGAGACTGGCTTTTCCTAGTGCTAAATGTTGCTTAGATTTTTGTTAGAGGGAGTCTTATCTTTGAAACTAAACAATGGAATGTTTTCCATTTAGGTTGCGCAAAGCAATCTTCAAACTTTGGCACAAAGCAATCTTCAAACTTTGGCACACACTAGTAACTGAGGGCAGACTACCCATTCACATCCTGGGGTGTTCACTTGCCTCTGAGGTCGCAAGGTTCCGTAGACATATCTTCTCCTGTGGGCAACAGCAGCCTCTTATCACGGCAGTGGTGAGGGCCAAAACAATGTCCTTAGCTGTGTAGAACCTAAAGGTAAAGATGAAAATCAGAGCCGAGGAAAAGGGGCTGCAGAAGAGGCAGAGATGGATTCTGAGTTGAGGAAGGGACTCCTGAGCTTTATGCTGTCAAGGAATCAGACTGCTTTGCTATCAGAGATGCAACTCCACAGGCTTGGGGTGTTTGCAGGAACCTTATCTAGGGCACCTGACAAAATGATACATCTGGGTGACAAGTCTCTGTGGGTGTGAATTACTAAGAATTTCAGAGGGAAGGGCAGCTCCTGTTCACAGTGAGTGATACCTCACCAAGTTCAGCTCCCCAGTTCTAATCCCACCTTTGGTTCTCCCACATTTGGACGTCTAGGCTTCATTCATGTCAACACGAGATTGCCAATGAGGGGAAAAAAGGAAGGGAAGAAGGAAGGCTGCCTCCCCTCTAAATTGCCCGAGACTTGATTTCTTTGCAGTGCTCAGCATGTATCCTACAGTTAGGGGTGCTAAGATGTGTCCCAAGAAAATATCTGCAAGGACTGTGAAGATGATGCGAAAGCCCAGTAGGCCCTTGCCAAGTGAGCATCGGAGCACTTATGTGTTCTGAATTTAGAGTCCCCTCTGACAGAGGCTGAACAACTGCACTGGGACTCAGAAATGTCTTTACAAACACAGTTGGTAGGAGAACTACAATCAAAGGTTTTGTGATTAATGAGCCAAGTTAAAACACCTTCACCAATTAGCATACACTGAGTATAAATAAGAAGTATACTCTAACTACAGGCAAATACTCCTGAATTCAGATGAAAGGGTTAGCAAACCTTGTACCAAATTCATAAAATTCAGGTTGAAGGTATTAAACCCACATAACCAGACAAAACCAGAATGGATTCTCTCAAACGTAAGTGTCAGGTAATCAAACTGCACTTTGAAATGGTCAAGTGGACAGCAAAATAAAACTTTAAAAAACAAGAGATAAACAGAAAAATCTTCAGTTTACCTCAGTTGTAATGATAAGGAAATCCTGTTTGAACCATTCTGTAAGGAAAGTAGGTGACCAATCAGTTTTATTCCTTTCTTAAGCTCTTTTCTGTCTACAGAGCTGGCCTCCTCTGCTGAATTCATCAAGAGCTCCTCAATTCATAAAATACTAATAAAAGTCAATTCAACCTTTGAACTAAATTTGCTGTGCTTCTGTTAACAGCAGAGTCAGTGTCCAGGACACCTAATGGGGTTTCAGGCCTTCTGTTAGGCATTAATCACTCCAGAGATAAGGCATAGTTCCTACCTTCAAGGGCTAAACCTTGAAAAAAATAAAGCCTCAAAGCAGAATCTTTCTGCCCCTCAATCGTGCAGTCAAGTGGCTCCTGGCAGGGTCAGTTCTGTGGAAAGAAGGCCCTTAAGGCTGTCTCCCTCTGTGTTCAATCTATGTTCTGTTTGTAAGTTTAAACACTCTTAGTAACATGGAAAGCAGACAAAATCCAATTTCGTTCATCTCAGAATGAATTATTTCCTTAACCATCTAGTGGTCCTGCAAGAGAAGGCACACATGACAAGCCTGTGATTCCTCTGCTTGAGCCAAGTATTAGTTCAGGGGAAAAATAATGGCTAGAAGCCCGCAAACTCAACAATATTCAGCCTTCAGCAGAGGTACAATCAAAAGACATGGGGACAGAATGGAAGAGGACAGGTGGAAACAGGGAGGCTTCTAGAGGGAGATGTTTGAGTGCTGTCTATTAAGGAAAGGGGAAGCTTGGGTAGTTCAAGTATGGCCAAAGGTGAAGGCCTCTGGGGAGGTCTGAGAAATGAGGCCAGGTAGAGATCACTACCCAGCATTGCCACGTTCTTGTCACTTTCAAAGAAAGAATTCAGAGAGGAGATAAAGAATAGGATGAAAGTCTTAATACAGACCACAAGCACATATTGAAGACAAATCCAGATCCACAGACCAAAACAACACCACCTGAACTACAAGCTTTGAACAATAATGTTGGCTGATAACCAGTGTGTCACTGGCCTGGGGCAGGGCATTGCTAGGGAGGTTACAGGTGTATATGGTAGCAAGGGTTTTGTAGGAATTTTCAGCACCTTGCCATCAACTTAAAGTCTCTATTAAAATCTTAAAAAAAAAAAAGACAGTAAAAGTTTAAACAGTTTTTGGAAATATATTTGATATGTACTGGTGGCTCATTCCTGTAATCCTAGCTACTCAGGAGGCTGAGATCTGAGTATCACTGTTCAAAGCCAGTCCGGGCAGGAAAGGCCATGAAACTCTTATTTCCAATAAGCCACCAGAAAGTGCCACTGTGGCTCAAGTGGTAGAGCACTAGCCTTGAGCTGAAGAGCTGAGGGACAGTGCCCAGGCCCAGAGTTCAAGTCCCACATCCAACAAAAAAAATAAATGAAATAAATATATTTGACCTCAAAGGTTTATGTGATAAATCTTCAAGTTTGAAAAATTGTGAATGAGCTTCATTACAGAAATATAAATAGAAAAATATCTTTTTCTGATTTCACAGAAATCCATTTCCCCATTGCCCAAAAATAATCTGTAAATCATAGAGAAATATATTGACTGTCAGTGACCTGACATAGCTCTCTAGGTACCATACTTTAATTTCACAAGTTTACTGTCACACGTAGGGAACCAAACTAAATCAGTCATTTAAAATAGGACCATTTGGGGATACTTTTTTAGCCATACTGAGCTACTTCAGTAAAAGTACCTCTGTACTAAGCTGGCTTTGCTCCAAATTAAAAACCTACAGAATACATTGGGAAATCATAAATTTACCAAATTTAGTGTTACTTTGTTGTTGCTGTTTTGAGATAATGTCTTAAGTATGTAGCCAAGGCTGGCCTTGTGCTCCTCCTGCTTCGCCTAGAGTGTTTCAATTACAGTTGTGGACAATGAGACCTGGCTCCAACCATAACGTTTGTAAATGACTGTGATCTTCCTTTTCAATTACAATAATTCAACAAACATATATAGAGAACACAGAACTGGCCTCCCAATTCACTGCATCTTAATTCATGGTCTTATTTGGTTCATGACTCAATGAATAGACTACAACTACTAGAAGCTGCAAGATTATAAACTCCTAGGTTCAGCATTTCATTTCAATGATAAGAAATTGCCATCTTATAGGTATAAATGTTAATAACTGTCCCATTATTAATGGTCCACTTCAGCCGGGTGCCAGTGGCTCATGCCTGTAATCCTAGCTACTCAGGAGGCTGAGATCTGAGGATTGCAGTTCAAAGCCAGCTCAGGCAGGAAGTCTGTGAGACTCTTATCTCCACCAGAAAACTGGAAGTGGTACTCTGGCTCAAGTAATAGAAGGCTTGCCTTGAGCTGAAGAGCTGAGGGACAGCACCCAGGCCCAGAGTTCAAGCCCCACAACTGACAAAAATGGTCCACTTCAAAGACTACCAAAAGTATGCAATCTTCAAATGACTGTAATGTGGTCCATGTATTATGGTTCTTTGTAGTATGATAAAAATAAGCAAGATATAAATTAGCCATCTCAAAGCGATAAAATTGTCAAAACAAAATGAGTATGAAGTATCACTTTTCAAAAAATGGAATTTTTAAGCAAAGATTATTTGAAAATAAGAATTCTATTTATTTAAGACAGGTAAATTCCAGAGTGGATGTGTTTATTTTGAGATGCAAATGCATCACCCTTCAACACATAAACAATAGTTATAAATTCTGAAAATAGAGACTTGCAATCTCCTTGATTCATACACTGTAATCCTTCAATTCAGATTCTCAGAATGTGACACATTAAACATGCCAGAAAAAGAATTTGAGGATAAAAACCTGTGTGACCAAGAAAGGAGAGAATTCCTTACATAGCCAGAGTTTACTGAAATCAAACAGATGACTGCTTTCATTCTACACAAAGCACCAATCCCAAAACAGCAGTACTCAAAATGAACAGACAGGTTCCTTCTACAACTATGCAATGAAACAAACAGTCCTAACACCAAACTGGTATCATACGTGCCAAACACTGCATTTCATTCATTATCTCAGAAAAACGGTACAAAATGAAAATTGGTGACCTAAATTAAATGTTCCAAGTATCCAATTTTCCAAGAACAATTAGAAAAAGAAAATCAAACATTCTAAGCATTATTTTGCATAGTTCTAAGACTATCAAATAAGGGGTTTCTATAAATAATAAAAACTTCACTTCAAACATGTATATAATATACAATACAAACCAAGGAATTGCATTAGAAATCCTTAAACATTTTAAACAGTTAAGCAACACAAGTATATATAAGTTTTCTGAGTGAAAATATCACAAACAACAT